CAGGAAAAGGAGGCAAAATAGGGATTTCTCTCTGAGGGTTGCTGTGAAGAGTAAACGAGGTACTGCCTATGAAGTCGGTACCATGGTGCCCGGCACAGAGTAAGTGCTCCATAAAGGATAGCTATTGCTAGCTAGAGCACTTCACATTTAAAAAAAAATTTCTGAATTGTGGTAAAAAGCGTACCCTACTTTTTCCCCACTCTGTGTAATAGAGAGAGAAAAAAAGACCGGAAACGAACCCAATGCCCAGTGATAAGAGAATGCTCCTAGAAACTGCGCCATGTTCCCACCATAGAATATCCTTCAGCAATAAAACTAACTGCAGTAGCATTGCCAAAAGTCACAACATAAAACCAAGCGAAAGAAGCCCAGCCCGGCCGGTGTGGCTCAGTGGTTCAGCTTCGACCTATGAACCAGGAGGTCACGGTTCAATTCCCAGTCAGGGCGCATGCCCCTATTCCGGCTTGATCCCCAGTGGTGGCTACCAGTTTAGGAAGCTCTGATAAGAAACTCCGTCATCTGCTTATTTGGGAAGAATCTGAAGGAGCAGGCGAGTCACTGCCTTTGAGGCCTTCAAAACAAATTCTGGGCACATAACCCGGAGGAGGAGGGCGGTGGAGGGGGGGGAGGCACAGAGAAAGATCTCGGACAGGAGGAAGCTGGGCTGAGCTGCAGCTGAGCCAGCTCCCAGGACCGGGAGAGCTGAAGGGCCTGCGCCCTCCTGCGCTTTGGCCCAAGTCAGGCAGACATGGGCATCTACGTTTCTAGAAGGAAACAGAGGTGCTAGCGCTAAGTGATGGGGATCCACACAGAATACTGTCAAGCAGTCACCCCCAAACCAGTTCTCTTGCTCTGGCTTCCAGAGCCCATGTCCATCCCTGGGGCCTGAGGACATGACCTCTTTCCGGAGATTTGTTTGGCAATGGAGTCCCCGGGGACCTTGTCGCATCTCGTGAGGACATCCAGGAGGCGGGGGGACTTGGGCTGTAACTGAGCAAGGCCGTACGCGCACCTCCACTGAACTCAGCCAAACACGGCTCTCTCCACACACAACAACCCGAGGCACATTTTTCTCCTATGACTGGTTTTATTGGCAGAAAAGCCTTTCAAAATCACAGCCGCCTGTGGAAATAAGTCTTTCACAACAGAGGGAGGGTTTCTCCGTTTTTATTGATCTCTTTTAAAAAGGCCTTCAACGTTGGAAACTTGATTTTCACTGCGGGCCGTACCCGGACACGATGCTCCCTGTCCGATCGTGCGCTCCTCCTAAGAATCTCTGAAATTATCTAGACATTCAGCGAGTAGCACCCTCTGAAATGTGCTCAAGGCCTGAGCGGGGTCCAAACCTGAGAAAACGCTTCCCGGACTGCTCAGGTCTTTGAAAAGAAGCACAGTGCCTGGCCGGTGTGGCTCAGTGGGTTGGAGCGTCATCCCGTGCACCAAACGGTGGCGGGTTTGATTCCCAATCAGGGCACATACCCAGGTTTCGGGTTTGATCCCCCGTCAGGGTGTGTGCAGGAAGCAACCGATGAATGTTTCTCCCTCTCCCGTTTTAAATGTTTTTATTGATTTCAGAGAGAGGAAGGGAGAGGGAGAGACAGAAACATCAGTGATGAGAGAAAATCATTGAACAACTGACCCCTGTTGGGGACGGAGCCCTGACTGGAAATCGAACTGTGACCTCATGGTTCATGGATTGATGCTCTACCACTGAGCCACACTGGCCAGGCTTTAAAAAAAGCAATTAAAAAATATGTACATTAAAAAAAAAAGGAGCACATTACTTAATATTTACCCGGAATCTTGGCTAAAGCAATGAGTGCGTGGGCATGAAATGCTAAATTAGAAAATGACAGTGTCCTTTGAGAAGTTTTTAAAATGTTTCGCTCGTGAACCTGAGAGACAGCCAAGTGCCAAGTCCTCTTGTTCCATTAAGATAAGGCCACTCTCTGGGAACAACTGTGGTGTCTGTCCCTCCTGTGAGTCTGGCAGTGTTGTCTTCAATGCCTGCTTCTGTCTCCAGTCTTTCTTGGGGCATTGAGATGCACTCGGGGCACACTTAAAAAAAAATAGCCCTGACCGGTTTGGCTCAGTGGATAGAGCACAGGCCTGCAGATTGAAGGGTCCCAGGTTCGATTCCGGTCAAGGGCATATGTACCTTGGTTGCGGGCACATCCCCAGTAGGGGGTGTGCAGGAGGCAGCTGATCGGTGTTTCTCTCTCATCGGTGTTTCTAACTCTCTATCCCTCTCCCCTCCTCTCTGTAAAAAATCAACAAAATATATTTTAAAAATAAAAAATATATATATATTGATTTTAGAGAGGAAGGAGATAGAAACATCAGTGGTGAGAGAGAATCATCCATCGGCTGCCTCCTGCACGCCCCACACTGGGGATTGAGCCCACAACCCGGGCATGTGCCCTGACTGGGAATTCAACTGTGACCTCCTGATTCATAGGTTGACGCTCAACCACTTAGCCTCGCCGCCTGGACTCACCACACTCTTCCTTCACTGAGTCACAGCATTCTTCTCTCCCTGTTGCAGTGGAATATACTCCTTAGCTGTTCATTTGCTTTTCTGCATCCAAAAAATAAAAAAAATAAAAAATCACACACTGGCTGCAGGGAATGAACTTTACTTGCAAAAGGGGAGCCATGCGAATCGTGTGGGACCCATATAAACTTCTCTCTTCCAGGGCGAGAGGGAGCAGAAAACATCACAAAGATCTAAAGCTCGAGGCTTTTTTTGGTTTGGTTTTAATTGGCCGGAGGTGGGCAAGGAGCCTCCGGTTCTGTGTGTTCTCTTTGCGGCCTCGGCTTCTTCGGAAACGTTAGCAGTTCCCAGGCGCTATTTTCGGAGCTGCGCTGACACTTGTTAATAACGTTGGCGTAGAAAGCGTGCTCATTTGAAACTCATTTAGACACCAAGAGAATTAGCTGGGGTGTGCCAGATGGGAAGGGGAGGAGATCAAGGGGCTGCTATCAGAGGGAGAGAATGCTGGAAGTTTTAAGGCAAATCAGAGGCCCTTCTCCATTAGATGCAAGTACTGGGGGGAATGTTTCATTTTCAGGGGAAATGCAAATATTCTTCCCCTCCTTGAGCTTAGCAGCAGCTTGCTCCTGGGGAGGCCAAAGAGGCCCCTAGTCAGCCCGTTACCCAACCCTAAACAGGGAATCCTTCCCAATAAGCTCAACTTCTTAAAAATAATAATAATAATATATTTTTTATTTCAGAGAGGGAGATAGAAACATCGATGAGAATCATTGATTGGCTGCCTCCTGCACGCCCCCCCACTGGGGATCAAGCCCGCAACCCAGGCGTGTGCCCTGACTGGGAATCGAACTGTGACCTCTGGTTCAGAGGTGGATGCTCAACCACGGAGCCAGGCCAGCAAGCATAAGCTTAACTTCTGAAGTTAACGCAGGGAAGAGTGATGCTCTGCTTTGCTTTAAAAAACAACTGACCCCTAAATGCCACGCCGGATTGGATCCTGAAACGGGAAAAGGACACTAGGGTGAAATCTGGTGAAATCCGAATAAAGTCTGTGGCTTGGTGAAGTGTTTGAGGCCCGGACATGACAACGTGATAGGGAAAGCCGGGGAGGGGTATATGGGAACGCCTTGTACTGTCTTTACAACTAACTGTTCCAGAAATCTAAAATTATTTTCAAATAAAGTTTAATGAAATGATGCTCCTTGTAGTGGACTTGACTTTGGCCTCTGAAAAGCAGGCAGATGGGAGGCCTCTGGCTTCTGGGGGAGCCTCATCTGCACCGTCCTTTAGACCCCATCCCCGGTGACATCACAGGAGGAATGCTCACGACCTCGAGGGAGGTTACTCGGCAGGAACAACTCCATGTTTCTCTCCCCCTCCCCCTTCCTTGTTCTCTCTAAAATCAATCAATATGCTTAAAAAATGCCGTGGTCGCCACGGAAGTCCCACCTTTGTAGGACACAGCACTTCCCTACAGACTGTCACTCCTATTTACGAACAGCATGCAAACAAAAGAGCAGCTGCTAAAACACGGCTTTCTTTGGGCATTATCGTCAAACACGATCAGACAGAAGTCTGGGATGGCTCTGCGGCATCAGCTGAAGGACTCGCGCAGACTGTATCGAAGTGCAAAGCGGGTCGTTTATTTAGCACCGAAATCAAACGATAAAAACACGGGTTCCATCTTAAAACAGGCATTTCAAAAGCCCTCCTGACATTCTAAGTTGGCACTGAGGCATCTGCAGTCTGGATGCCCAAATTCCTCGTTTCCAGCGACAAAGGCCGTTTTCCCTGGTTGTGGGGTGCAGTGGTGTGGAGACCACTGCCCTTCAAACAGGCCGGCGGCCCCAGGCATGCTGTCTCCTGTTCAGCCAGAGGTTCCCGCCTGATCTCCAGGGCAAGTTCTGTGTTTGCTTAAATAGATTCTCAGTAACCGGTCAGGAAGCCTCGATGTAAAGATGTACAAAATGGACTGAAGAAACCACGGCCTCTTGCCCACTGACAGGTGCCTGTGAATTATGCTTCTCCAACAGGGCTCTCCCTGACCAGCAACCCCAAGTCCTGACTTCACCAATTAAGGGCTGGTTCGCACCGGTTGATAACTACGTTGCAACTGGACCACTGACAGCTTTTCCAGGGCGGGAATGGAACCACTGAGATGCTGTGAAGATCTCAGAGGCAAAAACAAGCTCAGTGTAACACTTCCCCTCTAGGTCGGCTGCAGAATTCCGTGAATTCCTGGTCACAGAGGAGGTAGCACCGTCTCCTCTTTAGTAAAATCCATGCCATTCGCCTGCCTTTCCCTTTTCCTTCCTTATTCTTTTGTTTTAAAATATATTTTTATTGATTTCAGAGAGGGAGATGGAGGGAGAGAAAGATCAATGATGAGAGAGAATCACTGATTATCTGCCTCCTGCACGCCCCCTACTGGGGACTGAGCCTGAAACCCGGGCATGTGCCCTGACCAGGAATCGAACTGCCATCTCCTGGTTCATAGGTCAATGCTCAACTCCTGAGCAACACTGGCTGGGCATCCTTCCTTCTTCTTCACGGCTGTTTTTGGAAATTGGGGTAACTCCCCACAGGCAGGGGCAAGATATATTTACACGTCCAGCATCCTGGGGGCGCTGCCTTTGCACAACCAGGAAGATGGAGCAATTCCGCGCGAGAGAACATTCCGTGAACAGACTTAGATGACTCTGAGCAAGAGAAGGTGGACATCTCAGGCCGTCAAGTCCCTCCCAGGCACAAGGAACTCCAGTTCCAACTCTACTGCAACCTATGTCTTCCGATCTTTATGGATAAAGGACGTTGATGGCTCCTCAGCTGTGGCTTCTTGGGCGAGGGAGGCCTGGGCTGGGGTCGGCAGGGTGGGACAGTCCTGGAAGACTTCCGGGGCCAGGGACATCCTCCAGCACGTCCTATCCCAACAGGATGACACTGCTCCCGAGACAGCTGCAGGGAACAAGCCACGTCAAGGCTGGCCCTTTCCAGGGCCGACCAGGCTCTTCCCAAGGCCACAGAGGGTCCAGTCTACGAGGGGCGATGCTGTGTCTGCGGCCTTCAGTTTTCCGTGTCGGTGAACTTTCTCTTCTTGTAGTTCTGAACCAGGTTGGACGCTGTGATCTGAGAAGCCTGCCCCTTCTCCCAACACTGAAAGTCGTTCAGGCCTCTCTGCCCCATTTGGAATAAGCCCCTCTCCATCTCGTCCAGCCGGGCGACCAGTGCCGAAGTGTCTTCATTGTACGCATTCTGGGAGGAGTCCATGATGCGGCGAAAACGTCCAATAAATGTCTGAAGGAGAGGGAGCAAGAGAAACCAGGGCCACTTTTTAAATATATGTATATTTTTATTGATTTGAGAGAGGGAGAGAGAGAGAGAGAGACATCAATGATGAGAGAGAATCATCGACTGGCTGCCTCCTGAATGCCCCGCATTGGGATCGAGCCCACAACCCGGGCATGTGCCCTGACTGGGAATCGAACCGTGACCTCCTGGTTCATAGGTGGGTGATCAACCACTGAGCCATGCTGGCCAGGCCAGATCCAGTTTTATCCTCAAACATTTAAATGGCACAAAAGGGGAGAATCTGGTCTCAGGACTCAGTCAGAAGGAGGTCTGAGTAAGTTATTTCACACTGCCAAACCTCGATATCCTTGCCTGTGAAATGGATTGTTGTGGAAATCCAACAAAGTAATACCCACAGAGCATCTAGCAAGTGGCTAGCAAGAGTAAGCTCCTCGAAAAGCGTTCCCCATTATTATTATAGTAACAAAGGCCGTGATAATGTACTGTGGTCACATGCAGACAGGTTTCAACCAGAAAAGGCCCCTGATTTAATTGAATGCCGTTTCTATTTTCAGCGAGAGAGAGAGATGGAGTCACACAGCTCTACCAGTGTCAGTTCCGGGCTCTGAGCCCAAGCCACAAGCCCCACTTCCGATCTACAATTGTCTCCCGGCAATCTCACCTTCTCTGTGAGCAACTCCAGTCTACAGCACCTCAAAGCAGAGATGGAGAAAGACAACATGTAACTCACTGAAGAAGGGTAGCGTTCCCATTCAAGAACATGTCCTGGCAACGTTATAAGACAAGTGATGTCTGCTTAGAAGAGTTTCATAAGCTCAAACTGTCTATCGTCTGTGCATTGACTTCTTTTTCTGAGTGGATGGCAATGGTTTTTTGTTTTCTTTTTAACTATCACGTTAGAAACAGCACTGGTAAACGTCAGGCCAAACAACCCTGACGCCCGATGTAGGGTGTCAGCACAGCCCAGGTGACAAGTGTGTTCTTATTAAGCGAGAAATGAGGAAGTAAAACAACAGGTAGAAAGGATGGGTTCTTCTAGTTTTAACAGAATGAAAAGTCATTACGAAATTTAAAGTAAGGTTATTCCAGCATAAAGGATGTTATATACATAACACTGTTTTGTCCATTGACAATAATAGTTACCATATATTAAATGGCTCCACATACGCTCACTATGATTCTATAGTTTTGACACTATTATTATCTCCTTTTACAGGTGAAGAATTGATGCCTAAAGAGGTCAAGTAGCTTGACCAGGTCACGTACGTAGCAAAGCCAGGTCTTAACCTCAAAGTAAGGAAAGGGAACAAATAACCAAATACCAGGTGTATTTCCAACAGGAACCTTCAGACCGGTCCTGGGCTGGGCTGTGACTGTGTATTTAAGTGCCTGATGCCTGCAATCAACCATCACCTCTTCTTTCCAGGACTTTCTGCTGCTCCCAACTCTCAGCAAGCAAAAATGAGTAACAGTAGACAAGTCCTATTTAAGTGTGTATGTATGTGTGTGTGTATGTGTATGTAGTTGGCAAATGCAGTCTAACTGTTGGCTGGCCTAGAATAATAACACACTAATTGTATATGTCATAAGTTTCCCTGGGTAAAAGTGATGTCTGGTGGCAGCCAAAGCTGGCTCCTGAGGCATGTGCGGTGCCATAGGTTTCCACATGAATTACTTGCCTGGAGGAGAGACTGGGAAATGTCTGTATTCTCTGGGCTGTCAAAATGCAGGAGCTGGGAGCCAAACCCGTAGAAATGGGGCCCCATTTTGTGGAGGTCCACCACGTTGGCATCTGCGCTGAACACAGTCCTCCAACCCTCTCGGTAGATCTTGGGAAGGTCCACAGAGAGGATCCGCCGCTTGTTGTCAAAAAGTCCTTTTGCCAGCCACAAGGGGAGTTCCAGCTTTGAGCCCTGCGTCAGACAGGATTGAAGAACAATGACAGAGTCAATGTGTGTGTCGCAAAAAGGAAAATGTGCACTGCATGAGCAATATTGCGTGTTCTCTTGGGACACATTGTATTTGAAGTCATATAGCCCCAGGTGCGAATCCCAGCTCACCACCTACAGCAGGGCCCTGGCCAACCTACCAAACTTCTCTGGGCTTCAGTGTCCTTGTATGTAACAATGCCTAGTTACAAGATTGTTGAAGAATTAAAGAGCTAATAAGTGGAAAAGTACACTCTCCCCACCCCATCCATGTTGGCACCAAAGCCCTCAGTCAATGGTTGCTGATACCGTCGTCATGATGCAGGGATGAATCTAGCAATTTGTGGGTCCCAGGCGCATTACACGCTCTTACAGAACCCAAAGCTGTTGTTTTCCGTAGGAGCCAATCCTAAGGCATGTTGAGGGTAAGGGAGAGAGGGAGTGGGAAAAACACTGCTGAATTTGTAGTTTCAAAAATGAAATGCGCCCTGACCGGTTTGGCTCAGTGGATAGAGCGTCGGCCTGCAGACTCAAGGGTCCCAGGTTCGATTCCGGTCAAGGGCATGTGCCTTGGCTGCGGGCACATCCCCAGTGGGGGGCGTGCAGGAGGCAGCTGATTGGATGTTTCTCGCTCATCGATGTTTCTAACTCTCTATCCCTCTCCCTTCCTCTCTGTAAAAAATCAATAAAATATATTAAAAAAAATGAAATCCGTGTTGGAGGGAGCCTGTCGACCTGGGATAAATTTAGTTTCCGTACAAGTGGCCCCAGCTAGGTGAGGAGACCACCGCAGTGCACCGCGACCCGCGGATAAACTGCTTGGCGAGACGACCCCCGTCTGCCCCTAAAACTACAAATCCCAGAGGACAGCGCGCCCAGAGATGCGCAGCCCCAGGGTCGCAAGGCCCACTGGGAATTGTAGTCTTTCCGCGCAGGGCCGAGCCAGGGGGCTTACCTGAGGGATGGTGTTGTCGGTGTCGGCCCCTCCGCTCCGCTCCGGGAAGAAAGCGCCGAGGCGTGGAATGGGAATTTCTGTGCGCACCGGGAGCTTCTCGTGGGACATCAAGATGTCGTCCAAGGAAAGAAAGTTCTCCTCATGGCCCAGCGCACCCGACTCCACCCGGAAATAAGCCTCGGACATGGCGGCGGCGTGAGCTGCTTTGTTTCCTCTTGTGTGATTCGGGAGACCTCAGGGAGTCAGGGATGCAAAAGCGGAGGAAGCGGAGGCCGGTAGGGATTGTAGGGGTTGAATGGGTCGCTACGGCCGCCGAGCCGGGTCGAAACTGTCTTCCCGCGCACTCTTCTCCCGCGTTCGGGGCGGGCCAGGCAGGAGCAGTTGATCGGGCGGGCCGGCCTAGGCAGGAGCAATCGATAAGGACTAGTGCGGGGCGGGGCGGGGCGGGCCAGGCAGGAGCAATCGATACGGTCTAGTCCGGGGCGGGGCGGGGCGGGGCGGGGGCGCTGGGAGAGGGTCCCCTGGAAGTTTTCTCGCCGAGTGTAGCCCATCTTTAGCAGAAGCTGGGAATGCCTATTAAAGCTGCAGGATGCAGTTGCACTAGGTTGCGTTTATGTGGTCCTGTAAGTGCGTATATGAAATGAAAAACACTTTACACGTGTTGGGGGCTTAAAGAAAGGCGGCCTTGAGCCCCCCATCCCAGGCCTGGCCGGAGCAGACCTACCGACCGGTTTGTCACTGCGGCTCTGTGGGTCTGGCTGCGTGAAGGAAACCGGCAGCCTCCTTGTGTGGCTCTTAATGCAAACCCTTAAAGGAGGAAACTCTGTGAGGCAGACCACAGGGGCCATAGTTTGCCAGCCTGTGGGCTGGGGACCTGGCAGGTACCATCCCTGGTCTGGTGGGGGCGGGAAGGGGCCATGGGGTGCTGCCCAGTCAGGGCTGTGGGTGGTGGCAGCATGCTGAGCGATGCACTACTGAACTTTTTTCCTACGAAAGGGCATTTTTCTGGGAGCAAAGGGTTCCTGGAAAGGGAGGTGTGTATTAATGTCTTTACATTTTTTTCTGTTTTGTATACTCTGACATCTCGGAGCCGTGGGGCCCTAAGGATGGACTGTCCCTCCCCGGATGAGCTAATTCGTAGAGTAACAAGCACCTTGCCTGCGAATACGCCTTTCATATTCACACCCACCGACCCAAAGCCCATAGCCCCGACCACTTCCTTTATCCAAGTCTCACACTGGTTCCCTTGCCCTAAATCAAGGTCCCAAGGTCACGTACTGGACAATTAGAGACCACCGAACGACCCTTTCACAGGGGTCGCCTAAGACCATCCTGCATATCAGATATTTGCATGACGATTCATAACAGTAGCAACATGACAGTGATGAAGTAGCAACGAAAATAATTGTATGGTTGGGTCACAACATGTGGAACTGTATTTAAAGGGCCAGAAGGTTGAGAACCACTGCCCTAAAGCAAGATCCCAAGGTCACGTACTGGACAATTAGAGACCACCTTTACCGCCCAGCGTCCACCGACATTATTTAAACCGTGCCGTCCTATGCCTGCTCCCACTTGCCTTCTCTGCCTCGTCCACTCCCTCCCCGAGAAACCACTCTAAGGGTTCTGGGCCATGGTCTCCTCCGGGCAACGATGAGCAATCAAGCTTCCAGGGATGACCACTCGGTCACCTCCATAAATGAAGGCCTGGGTATCGTCACAACAAGGGGTAGTGGGGAAGCCAGAGCCAAAGCATGGAAAGCCCCGGGTGCTATGATTCTAAGGCATCTGGGCTGTTCCATAGGAAATGTAGTTTTTGGACAAGTAGTAGCGTAAGTCTGAGCTTTAGGAAGGGAAGTCTGGCAGGGTGGAGAGGGGAGAGGAGATGCAGGGAAGACAGTTGCGAAGCTGTTCCGTGGGCAGCGCCTGGCAGCGGCTTGGATGTAGGAAGCGGAGGAGAGAGAGGGGTCCAGGGTGATTCACGTGCTTCACCTGGTGGACCAGGTGGGTGAGGGTGTTATTAATAGATGCGTACGGAGCACAGGAACAGGGGCCGCCCGAGGCGGAGGATGCGTTCCGTTTGGCATTTGTGGAGTCCAGGAGCCGCTAGACAGGCAGGTCGGCAGCCCAGTGGAGAAAGCAGCCTGGAAGTCAGGAGGCATCTGTTTAGAGGTAGTTACATGAGAGTTTCTTCTTTGATCATATTTAAATTAATTCCTTATCCTCACCCGAGGATATGTTTATTGATTTTGAGAGAGAGAGAGAGAGACATCAATCAGTTGCCTCCCTACATGCCCAGCCAGGGACTGAACACACAACCCAGGCATGTGCCCTGACTGGGAATCGAACCTCTGCCACCTTCGGGTGTACAGGACGACGCTCCAGCCCCCGGAGCCACACCAGCCAGGGCTCCCTTATCATATTTTAAATGTTCACTTTGCTGCACTCTCCAATGCCAAAGTAAGCAATTCACAGTCAGAATTGATCATTTCTCTGATGAAATGAGTATATGGTACTGGATACAGTTGGGGATAGAAATCTAAATTAATTTGCCTAATTGAAGGCAATGCAGGCTGTTTACGGACAAGAGAGAAAGCTGTTTTCTGTGTTGAAACGGTTAAGATGGATGCTTAATGATCTATCAACGCCAAAGAAAGGCATATTTTTGTCCTGAGACCAGACTATTGGCTCTAAACTCAAATATCACAGTTATTTTAATACTAAAGGAACAGGCCTGTGTTTCAGATAAAATCAGAGTGCCTTGTTCTCATTGAATGCCGGCTCACCATGAAGCTAGTAGTCACTGCTCGTATATTTTCACTCTATTTAATCTGTCCTCTTTTTAAACTAATAAGTGAAATCAGAAGAAGTGAAATTCATGTGAAAGTTTGAGCTGATGACTTAATCAGGGGTGGAGAACCTTTTTTTCTGCCCAGGGCCATTTGGATATTTATAATATCATTTGCAGGCCATACAAAATTATCAACTTAAGAATTAGCCTGCTATATTTGGTCAAACATTTAATTAACTCACCCCTAATGCCTTGGCAGGGTCAGACCAAATGATTTCGTCGGCCTTATATGGTCCGAGGGCCGACGCTCCCTACCCCTGAATAATTGCATTGAGCCCTGACCAGTTTGGCTCAGTGGATAGAGCATCGGGCCGTGGACTAAAAGGTCCTGGGTTCGATTCGGGTCGAGGGCATGTACGTTGGTTGCGGGCACATCCCCAGTAGGGGGCGTGCAGGAGGCAGCTGATCGATGTTTCTAAGGCTCTATCCCTCTCCCTTCCTCTCTATAAAAAGTCAATAAAATATATATTAAAAAAATAATAATTGCATTGACATATTGACAAAAGCGCACATAGTTGATCAAGCATGCGTTTGTTTATGCCCTAAATTACAAGCCAGGAACGCTGCTTTTCTCTAAGAAAGTATGTGTTCCTTAGCATCCAGCCAACCAGTCTACATGCCAGAATTACACTAAACAGAATCTCAGCATGCTTAAAATATTCAGAGTGTATTCAGTATAGTTACAATATACGGAGTTTCCGTCTTCTGAAAGGCATCTTAATGGATCCCTGAAAAAAAAAGAGTAAATTTCCCACCATCATCGTTTCAAGGTTGCCAGGTCACAGAACGGCGTGGCACATGCAGATTTCAGACAAGCAAAACCCCAAGCAGCTTTAAATGTGCTCTTTAGAATACCAGTGCTTTCTAAATTTCTTCCACTGAGTGAGGAGGCTGTGCACAGTGACAGAAATCCCAGTGGGTTTGTGGGCGAGGACCTAAGAAAGTGAAAAAGAAACGTAATGGACTCCATCCTTCCAGTTGCTCGCCTGGCCACAAGTTCTAGGATTTTCTTTGACCCTCTCCCCTTACACCAAGCATGTCAAACTCGGGCCCACGGGCCGCATGCCTCGTTCGTTTGGCCTGTCCTGGCCTTTGAGTTTGATATGCTTGCACTACACTCTATAACCGGACCATCAGCAAATGTTGGCTCTACCGTCATGACTTCTCCAGAAATGGACCAGTTCTCGTCACTCTGGCCCAGGCCACCATGATCTCTTGCCTGTTTTTTTGCAGTAGCTCCCCACCTAGTCTTGCCCATGACCTCCGTGTTGATCCTTCAACACCCCAGGCTCACTTTTTCTTTATTTTTAAAAATATTTTTTTTATTGATTTCAGAGAAGAAGGACGAGGGAGAGAGAGATAGAAACATCCATGATGAGAGGGAGTCATTGATCGGCTGCCTCCTGCACGCCCCACACTGGGGATCGAGCCTGCAACCCAGGCATGTGCCCTGACCGGGAATCGAACTGTGACCTCCTGGTTCATAGGTCAGTGCTCAACCACTGGCCATGTTGACCAAGCCTGATTACCTGCCAGAAGCTTTGTCTTTGCATTTGTAAAGTGGAGGTAATAATAGTAGCTCACAGGGTTGTGGTGGGTGGATCAAATGAGCCCACATACCTAGAGCACTTACTCAGGGCCTGGTCCGTAGAAGGGCTTCTCATCGTTATTCATATGTGTCTGTGCAGTATCTCGAACAAAACCTGTCACATAGCAGAGACTCAATGAACGTTTGTTAAATGACTGTCTTCATTCATGATCATCTAAGCTCAGCTGCACCCCCCTCCCAATTCAAGTTCCTCAATGTACTTTGATAAATTATATGATTCTTCAACGTTTTCCTGCAAAATTCTCCTATGGGTTTAAATCATTAAAGTTTTTTAATGTTGTTTTTGGAGTGAGTATATTTTTCCCATTTTTTTTTAAGAGAGAGTAGAAGGGAGGGAGGAGGAGGAGAGAGAGAAACATCGATGTGAGAGAGACATATCGGTTGTTGCCTCCCACACGTACCCCAGTGCACCCCGACCTGGGGTGGGGATCAGACCTGCAACCCTGGTACGTGCCCTCCTCTGGAATCGAACCCAAGACTCTCCAGTGCCCAGGCAGATGCTCTAACCACTGAGCCATGTTGCCAGGCAGGTTTTTTTGTTTGTTTTTTGTATTTGGAAATGAGAGTATGATGTTTGGAATCTTATGTAAGGTTAATGGAACTAAACCACTGGAGTTCATCGTTCCATACTTTAGCTGTTCCTGTGGTTGAGCTATTTCTTGAGCACTGATCCAAGACGCCTGCAACAAGATCAAAACACAGTGACGGGCAGATGCGACCTGTGTGTGGGTAGCACCGAGTTTAGATCCTGCCCACGGTCCCCGGCAGTGGCAGCAGCTTGGTAAACCCACCTATGTAGCCAGGGACGTTCTGTGTCTGTGTGTGCCTGGCCCTCCCAGGTTGGCAAAGCTGCAGCTACCCCGTCATTTTGCTGGAGGTTCTGGTTTAACCCAGCGTTCCT